CCCCCCCCACCTTGCCAGACAATCGTCGCGATCTCCTTCCCTGGACCTGGACTTGGGAGCCGATCGACCAGACAGCGACTTCGACACCCATGAGACCGGTTGTTCGACATCCACGATTCTCTCGTTCACCGCCGGGACCGTTGTCCTTCCACCTATGTCTCCCGCGCTTGCCTCATATCCGTCTCTCTCCCTCCCACCTCCGGTAGCTGCGGACCCGCGACGTTACCAATCCCAATATCCGGAGTGCTCATCGTCCAAGAGCGCCTTCCGTTCGGTCTCCTCGGGGTCGACGGAGTGGTCCGTACCCTTTCGGGTCGGGTTACCGACGCCTCCCAGCGAGATGACCGGAGTGACGTACAACACCACGCTTTCTTCTTCGATGTATGGAGGAAAGCAGTATGGTGTCCCGGTGCAGCAATATGCCAAGGCTCCAACCCAGGCTCCTGTCAACTCCGTGTCGACGAACACCTCAACGACGGCACACCAGAACTATGTCCCGCCTCCGGAAAAGGAAGCCCCCGCTGCGGCCTCCGAGACGAAGAGTCAGAAGAAGAACACAAACGACTCGATAGCGCCGTACTTGCAGATCCCCTCGTCGATCAATAACAGCAAAGGGAGTTTGGCAGAATTCGCTGCTCAGGTGAGAATCCCTGTTACCCGGGCATGCCAGTCGGGCAATCCACTGACTCTGGTGTCGATTTAGATTGCGTGCCTATTCTGGTTCGAGAAGACTTCCAAACTGAAGGCCATTGAGGATGGCGTGATCACACACTATTCCCTCGTTCCGGAAGCCATCCCCACGATTGGATTCCAGAAATGGGTGACGACGATCCTCTCGACCACTCAGGTCAGTCAGAATGTCATTCTGCTGGCTCTGTTATTCATATATCGCCTGAAGAAAGCAAACCCCGGTGTCAGAGGGAAGAAAGGCAGCGAGTATCGGTTGATGACCATTGCGTTGATGATGGGGAACAAGTTCCTCGACGATAATACGTATACGAATAAGACGTGGGCCGAGGTGTCGGGCATATCGGTGCAGGAGATTCACATCATGGAAGTCGAGTTCCTGAGCAATGTTCGCTACAACCTCTTCGTCTCCAAGGAGGAATGGACTCGATGGCACTCTAAGCTGGGCCGTTTTGCCGAGTATTTTGACAAGGCGTCTCGCATGCCAACCGAGAATGAATTCGCTCCGACGACGCCTGTCCAGGTGTCCCCGACTCTGACGCCTGGCTCGGGCCGGAATGGTCTCCCATTGTCACCCGCATCCAAGCTGCCATCCCC